AATGAATTGTGCTACTTTTAAAGCAAGCAACAATGTTTTCAAATCTGTAATCAAAAAGGTCCGCAAAAACATTTAAGATTAACTTCGACCTCCGGGGGGGGGGGGTGTCTTACTATGGAGGAGTGGATTGAGGAGTGCCTATCTCCAGAACAAAAAGCACCTAAACGACGACATGTAGAGCTACGTGAAGAGCAGGTAGACCAACTGGAAAGGTACCACCATTCAAAAGCTTTCTGATGCGGGTCTTGAAACAAAGCAGAGAAATGATGACCGTTAGTGGCCACAGGTGCGAAAGCTCTCTCCAGAGCTACTGGAAGCCGAATCTCGGGGACCGGAGAAAGTGGAGCAATATTCTCGCCACGCCAAGCAACAGCCTAGAACAACCTCAGCCTATACAAGTGACCACGTAAGCCATGCTACTGATGCTGGACAGTTTTTCAGTGGGTGCACAATAAACGGCAACATACACATTAATGTAAATAAATAGCCAAATAATGGATCAACGCTCTCGGTCTAATATGTTCGCTAGCTGTTGTTAGTGTTGTTGCATAGCAACCACCTTGCACTATGTTTCGTGCAGAAGGCAACAGAGGGACTATTTTATTTTGAACATCATTATTTACTAATAAAAACTATTTAAATTAGAGTGTGAATTTTTCTTTCATATTGCCACACTTGGTAACCGTTTTATAAAAGCAATAGCTCACTTCAGGCCGTGATATATGCTCATTATATCACAGCTAAGGGGGTTGTCGACCCTCCGCTTCGCGTCGGGCCGAACCACGCCCCTTAGCTGTGATATAATGAGCATATACCACGGCCTGTCGTGAGCTATTGCTTAAGTGTATCTCGAGCCGGTTTCTCAAACTTACCTACCCCACCTTTAATTAGTGAGTTTATTTAAATGTGGGGTAGGCCTAGGTAAGTTTGAGAAACCGGCTCGAGATACACTTTTTGTTATATTCCATAGAATGCTCTTAACATCCCGATAGCAATGAATATCTTAAGTGCTTTGACAAAAAATCCATTTATAAATGTCATCTGTGGAAGCCTTAGTACTGTAAAAAGCACGACCAATCATCTGAGCCGGCCCGTCTAAAATAACTGGATGGCCTACCTGCCTGTCAGCCTTCCATCTGTGCACAAACTTATCTCGTGCCCTCATTGGTCATGTGCGCGTTCGTGTGTGTTGGAGGAGGGGCTCTATAAGGAAGTGGCAGATTTGTTCCGGCTGTGTATTTTCAAATTCTAGCGATCTCGAGCTGGTTTCTCCAAAATTACCTACCCCACCTTTAAGCTAATTAGTTAGAGGCCCTATTTTATCAGTATGTCTGCACAGCAGTTACAATGGTCAAACTACATTAGAACAGAATTGTCCCCATTTGGTCTTTAATAGTTACTAACATTAGATATTTTAATGTGATATGGACCGCAAAACAAAGAAATTCCCTGGTTTTCATTTTTTAAATCAAGTCACCGAATGCAAGTAGTCGCCTTAGCTTTGTTATGAGATGTGAATTACTGTTCAATTTAGTTGATGTAATAATCGTTTGGTTTATTTTACATTAAAAACAAGTTACAATTTTCAAAAGGTCTTATGTTTTTTTCGGGGGGAGGCCCTTTTTCCAGTTTAGAGCAATAGCCCCTCCAAATGTCTGTGCACGTCCCTGGGCCCAGCACTTTGTAACATCATTTTGCAAATAGGATCCCTGAAAGTGTGCACCTTATTTGTTTGTGGTGCTTCATATAAGTAAAAAACGTGTCAACGTTGTTTACCCAATGGTTGCACACACACTTGTATCTTGGGCTATAAACATGAATAACCCACAAGAATCTGAAAGTCTATCACAAACTAGGAGAAGGAGGAAGAGATGATCTATAAGGGATAAGAGGATGTGCTGCTGTGGGGACTTCTGAACCTGTGCACCCGTTACATAACAGACTCAGCCTGTGTACAAGACCTAAAAAAAGCAAAGGGCTTAAGCTGCATCGACACACACACGCACGCACGCACGCACGCACGCACGCACGCACGCACGCACGCACGCACGCACGCACGCACGCACGCACACACCACCACCACACACACACACACACACACACACACACACACACACACACACACACACACAGATCAAGTTGACCAAATTAAATGTCTCTATTTATACTGGCCATGCCAAAGAAATATGCTAACGTTTGCCATAATAGCCTCCATTAGAGCTGAATGTTAGCATGTTGCCAGCATCATTTTTGGGTAAATAAACCCCTCTTTTTGAAAATACACCTGTGAATCCTCACATCTGCCATCTCGGCCCTCCAGAGGGAATGGTGACCCTTACCCATGAGGTGCATAACTCCAAATAACCCAACAAGATAGAGTAAATCGGTACAAGAACGTTCTGTAGAGTCTTCTGTACTTTCTGTATTAGACTTTCTTAAATGGGGAATCTGCTGCCAGATCAAATCCAGTGTCAAGAAAAAGGAGATAATTGACCCTGAGAATGAGGTGGGCCGCGAAATCCAGACAGAGCCAGTAAGAGCAATTAGACTTCAGTACCAGCATGATGGGGATACATCAGGCGATGCTGGATGAATATATCTTTCTCTTCTCCACAATAGAGCTCACTACCATTTATATGGCTTTCATTTCATCTGGGAGCTGATGCAACGTATTACACTCTATCCCACTGTGGTTGTTTGGTGATTTAAGAGCACGGTTATATCACACAGGGCTGACAGAGGATCAGGTTTGAAAGCTCTGGCTCTAACTCATCTCTACCAACTGAGAGACACCAATCCTCCCCATGCTTTTAGATGGTGAACAAGATGCATCTCTGTCAATGGCAGTAGAGTATGAGTTTGATGAAGGTAGAGATATATGCATGGCGTCTCACTGTGTAAATTGACTCACTTTAGCTCCCCTGATGTTTAATTCCTCTGCCTGGAGCAACAAACTATTAATGTTGTTTTCATGAACTAATGTGCAAATCAAGCTAATGAAGGTTCATGGTGGGAGTTATTCATTTTAGAGATTTATCAGCAGTAGGCAATCTGGGGGAGTGGGGATGGCCTCTTGTTAGTATATTGATCAATGCTAACCGGAATACATGCCAACAGTTACCCTGACAACACATTATATCTGACTGCAAAAAGCATTGACCAAGCATGATATCATTGAAACTTATACTCAACTCAACACAGCAGCATTTTAAAACACTCTCTCTTTGACATGTTCCACTCTTAGCAGTGTGTTGCACCTGTTACTAAAGCTGCAAAGTCAAGTAATCGAAGAGTTGATCAGCAAAAAAAAATATTCACCACTTGATATTTGAGCCATCCTCAAAGTTATTCATGCTTAAATTGCATAGTTGTTATGTTCAGCCTCAAATGTGGAGATTTATTGCCTTCATTGATTGTAATCTTTGGGTTTTGGACTAACAAACCAAGACATGTAAAGACACCACTTTGGACTTTGAGATGGACAATTTTCTGAGTTTTCTGAAATGTTATAGACAAAACAATAATCAACCAATGAAGAGAATAGTTGCAGATAAATCAATAATGTAAATAACCGTAAAGTGCAGTCTACCGACACACCTTGGTATGGAAGCCTGTTTGCGCCACAGGAATTTAAAAAAAAAAGAATCTGACTTAGCTATCTCATTATATTGACTTAGTTATCTCATTATATTGACTTAGTTATCTCATTATATTGACTTAGATATCTCATTATATTGACTTAGTTATCTCATTATATTGACTTAATATCTCATTATATTGACTTAGCTATCTCATTATATTGACTTAGCTATCTCATTATATTGACTTAGCTATCTCATTATAATGACTTAGCTGTGTGCTGTGTGCCAAAAAAGGTGCATACATTGATACAAAAGAGTACATTAAATAACATTATTTACATATTGGGAATAATATGGACATTATTAAACTGATACACACTACATTGCATGATCTTCTAAAACACCCTGTTGAAGATTACCTATTAATGTACTATTCAGCACCACAGACTATAGAGTTACCATGCACACTTTGACTGATGCATGCAGTCACTGTCACAATCAAGCCCTTGGACAGAGGACTGGTAACAAGAGCAACTTTGAAGGAGCCTGCAAACTTTGCAAAGTGTATCTACTGTACCTGCAGGCCTACATTTAGGATGCAATGAATATTCCAGAGCATATTGGTATACTGGTAGGCCTAGTAAGTCATTATAATGAGATAGCTAAGTCAATATAATGAGATAACTAAGTCAATATAATGAGATAACTAAGTCAATATAATGAGATAACTAAGTCAATATAATGAGATAGTAAGTCATTATAATGAGATAGCTAAGTCATTATAATGACTTACAGGATTTTTTTATTTTTTTTCCTGTGGCACAAACAGGCTTCCATACCAAGGAGTAGGCTACACACACTGCAAACACTACAGGAAATTAAACCGATGTTTTTTTAGAGATTTACCAATTTCTCTAAAATCAAATGCCTTTCTGCTCCTCAAATGTACAGGTCATGTTTCACAGCATTTGAATAAATTGGTACATCTATCCTGGCTAGATCAATAATGTTCCTTTTTTAATCGACACCCACATGTTTAACTCATGCACTCTGCAAAGACCATTTTGCTTTAAAACAGGGGACTTGGAGTGTTATTCCTGTAGCTTCAGCAGCTACATCTATCTATGGCATTTTGACATGACTGGATTAATGTGTTGTTACATAAAACTCTAAAATGGGCCATAATACCACGGGATTAAACACTCTCTCTGATTTACTCTGAGTCAAGCTAACAACCTGTGCGTTGTGACCTGTGGTCCAGTAAGAAAACTAAACTGGGATCAGTTTCCGACTCTCACTCTCTGTGCAGAAAAACCCTCGATGTGATTGGCTGAGGAGCGCAGGAGCTCTGAGTAAAGCAAAGGATACCAGAGTGCTCAGGCAGTGCATGGACGGATGCAAGCAGGGGGAGGACGGCGAGACACGTTGTTGTTGTTGTTGATATTATAAAGATTCTGCTTTAATTTCACCAAGTGGAGCAAGTTAAGTGTGATGTTTTGGCTGCGTGTTGTAAAATCCCTCTCAACAACACCACCTCCGACACCATCCTCTCAGGAGTGATGGGCTCCAAGTTGACCAGACAGAGAAGTCTCGATTTTGAAACAAAAGTGTCCAAGAGGAGATGCCAGAGGAATGACAGCCCGGGAGAGAGCGAGAGGAGCGGGGACTTCTTGTTTACCTCCCTGATGCTGAAGTCCGACAAGCTGCCCGGGATGCTGCGGAGAACAAACCACTGCCCGTATGTGAGGAGGGTGGCGTGGATCCGGGAGATCCAGAGACTCCTCCGGGAGCAGAAGATGGAGCAAGCTGGCGAAGTGCTCAAACTGCTGAGGAAGGTAAAGGGATTACATTATTTTGGATTAATTTCTAAGGAAAACTTATTATTTAAGATGTTATTGAGGAGGTTATTTGAAGCTGCAAGTGTGTTTGATGAAGTGTGCGTGGTGAACACGTGGGCCAAAAGTTAAATAGCCTATTAAAAACATTTTTGCACGTTTTTTTATATTTCAAAGTTTATTTGGTAATTGAATTCCAGATTGTTGAAAATGTAGGTGCAGTCATTCCAGTTGTGTCCTTATTTCATTTTATCTCACATTTATTGTCAATGATGTTAGGATGCATGCTATATTTATCCAGCAAAAGCAGATTTAAACTGATGACTCTTATTGATTTGTGTTTATTTTGTAATCTAAGTGCAAACTGTTGAAAATGTATCATACTGTACAAGAGCAGTTATTTCATGTGTCCTTATTTTTGATACATCTGTATTGTCCATGATGGTAGCCTACAGGACATAGGCTACTGTATGTATTCAGCAAAAGCAGATTGAAGTGATGGCTCCTATATTGGAGAAAGTCCCACTTTTTATAGCATGTGTATCTGCAGGTGTCAGTGCTAATGGTTTAAAAGTTTAAGGCATGTAATCATTTTCTTTTTTTCAAGTTCCTTTCAATGATTCCCAGTAAAGAAGAATTTCTGACCTGAACTCTGTCGCCTTCTTTTTATCAAAAAGAAAAAGGGATGAGAAAGAAGCAGTATGAGTGTATGAGTATGAGTGGTTTAAATCAACCACCTGTTTTGTCTGAAAGGGAATGGATAGCCAGCGATAGTTCATGTTCTGAATATAAAATCAGCTCTAACACTGAGTGTATTATGTTTTTTAAAGACACCAAAACCAAAAAAGGCCTTGGTTTCTTTAATTTTTTGTGACAAACGTTGAGATCTTAATATTTTTTCTTACCAATTAAATACTTTCTTGCTGCCTTTTTTACGGTTAAGGCTACAAAAGAAAAATATTGAGTCAATAACTATATATTTAGCTTTTTCTGCCATTCTTCACAGTTTCCTATATGTGAAGGAAACATCAGAGGGAATTTAAATATATAAATCCACATAGGAATAAGCGCTTTATAAAACTCACTTGATGCTGTATTGTGGTATTGTTGAAAATCTCTAATCTGTCCCCTATTGTATGGTATGATGGGAACACATAATGAAAAAGCCCCCCACTATAGTTAATATATTTCATTTGAGTCCTATCTGTTACCTTTCCGAATGTTACACCTTCCCAGGTCTAATCCTCACTTTCTGAAGCTTTATCCAAACTAGAGAGGAGGAAAGAGAAATAGTTTTTGGAGCTTTCCACTTCCCTCTGGTTGCTGTGCATTGATCAAAGACTAGTTTTGAAGTACAGACAAAAGCGGTTCTCATCAAGCAGGCCCCCTGTCATGCAAACTCCCTGCCCATCTGTACGCTGCCGTAGAATAAATTACACAGAAGTGTGCAGATTAAAGCAGGAATCAATGCTGAGGAGTCTGAATTGAAGACAGATTTGCAGGTATCTATTCTTCTGCAGATAATCCATAAACCGAGCATACAATAGGTGGGGTGAATTTCAATTTAGTTGTAAATGATATTCATGTTTGTGTGAAGCAGGAGGGATATGACTCATGCACATTCCTTGAAGACTTCCATGTGTCTGTCTCTGTTTGTTAAAGCAGTCCATCACATCTAATAGGAAACACGATTTTAAGATCAACATGTACAATTGTTGGTCGTGAGCAGGAGCAACTTTCTCAATAGCTCGGCATTTAAACTGCTCACGAAGCACGAATTCGCTCTCCATCACTCACTGAGGTGAAGCCAGAGAGCTGCTGTATGTCTTTGGGGCTGGAGCCAAGTGTCTGACTAACAGTTCTTCAAGACGGGGGAAAACTAGCAGGAGAGCTCCTGTTGTTGTTCTCCAGCTGCAAAGCAGCTTTTCCTCTCGGAGACGGGTGGATTTGGAGATAATCACCTTAGGATGATGGATGCTGGAACATGTTTCTATTGCACAGAGGAAGCATAACAAAGAGTAGCCAATAACACTGCCCCCACGCTGTATCTCCATGGCAGATCTGCCTCCTGGGCCATTCAGTTAATTAGTTTGGGATCTTCTACATATTCATTAGTAAACAAAGAATCAGCAAATACTCTTATCAATTACGCTCTGCAACATGCACACTGAGTAACCAATGTGCAGCGATGGAGAAGACAATGATGAAGAGGTTTTCTCTGTCATATATATCTATATATATATATATATATATATATAGAGATATACAGTTAGTATATCTATATATATATCTCTCTATATATCTATATTTATAGACCATTCTGAAGTTATCTGTCACAATAATCACTTCATTTTATTCAACTTTAAATACACATATACTGCTTGCCAGATTTTGGTGCCTCTTTGATTTGATTTAAATACTCTTCATCCAATAATACAGTTATGTAGAAATATTAACCATTTGTGAGGTTTGGGGTTAGGGTGAGGATTTAAAAACAAACAGATACAGGCTAGCTAATTCCAGTCTGTGTGCTAGGCTAACCTAACCTTCCTTCTGGCCTTAGCTTCATATCGCCATACAGACATGAGAGTGGTATCAATCTACTCATCAACTCACCAACTCCCAGCCAGAAAGTGAACTTATTTATCAAGAATTCAAAAACAGGTCAATTGTTTTTCATAAAAAGTAGAACTATTCCTCAAGATGCGCTTCTGGTATACTTCTCAAAAACTGAGTTCATTTGGCAAAGGTCATGTGTTTGGCACCTGGCGCAGGCAGCCTGTATCTGTGGCCTAATTATCATAACAGTCCAAAATAAAATAAGTAAGTAAACAAAACTGGACACCTGACAGCTGCTACATGTTCTTACACTAAAGCAGAAAACTGTGGGACTGGATTTGGCACAGTGCAATATATTTAATTGGATTCTGATTAACTGCATGTGTGGGATGTTGTTTTTTGGTTTAGAGCTTGACGTTCACTTTTTGTGACGAGGCAGACGTCAGATTAGATACACAGCTTTCCTGAGGACATTGATCTGAGGGCACACAGGCTTCCACATCAAAAACATTTCCTGCCTTTAAGATTAGGAATCAGTCAAATGAATCCACAGGATCAGATCTCTGTGTCTTTTGAAGACGAAACCCGCTCATTTCTCATGCTGCAGCTGCACTACACAGTTACAGTGCTTCATCATCATAAAACAATCTCCAAATTCCTCTGTGCCTCCATTTATGGAGACGTGTTATCCTCCTGCGTCTGTGCTGAATGAGGTGTATTTAAGGGAGCGCTGGTCTGGAGGATAGTCCAGCGTCAGGGAATCCCACAGAGCTCCGCTGTAATAAATCAACTTAAAAGCTGGAGGAGGAGAAAATGCTGATGGGAGTTTTCCTCTCTGCTTCCAATGCGCCCCTAAGTGTTAGAGCTGTCAGAGCGTATACAGCGCGTTTTACACAGATCCCACCTCAAGCTTTCTGAGAAGCTTTTCAATGCATATAGAGCTGGCTGTATTTACCCTTCAGCTGCTCAGCTTCTAGTTTTACAGAAGGATGATGGTCCAGTGAAACATGTTTGTAAGCAGCAGTTATGTCACCGTTCAAATGGCATGTTTGAGTCGACAAAATCTGTTAACAGTTGTTATGGATTATAAGAGATACTGTATACAGCTTTATGCTTTAAGAGAGGAGAGTTCCTTTTACTTTCTTACTCACAACCTTTCATCTCTGTTTATTTTGTTTCATCTGCTCAGTTTCAAGTCTTCCTGGCTGTTTTATTTTTCTCCTGTGTGTTTGCATCGCTGGCTGACACTTGCTGGTGAGGCGCAAATACTGGCTTTTAAAGACACGTCAGCACTCAAAGCATTACCTGAAGAAGCCCCGTATTTACATTGTCACTTCAATATAGAAATATCCTGATGATGAGGAACTATTGTCAACAACAGGGTTCCTGGTTTCTAGTTTCTTTGAACTGTTCTCCCTGTCACACAATCGTTCACTGAGGAATGCTTAGGATTCAAAGTAGAAAGCAGAAATGCCTTTAACAGGAATCTAAAAGTATTTTCCCTATATGGTTTAGAGTTATGTTTGGTGCAAATGATAGAAATTGATGTGGGGAAATCCTGTGGGTTTCATCCTACAAATGAAACCAGAAAATGAAAAAGGAAAGAGTCTTATTCTCTTCACTAGAGAGTAACTGTAATATTTTCAGAAAGACCGCACCACTGCATATGTAAACTTTACTCCCAATGTCCCTCACACACACACACGCACACGCACACGCACATATACAGTATGTATGGTATGCACACAGACACCTCTCCACCCCCTAATTAACTGAACTGGATGTAAACGCAGCAAAACCTTATCAGCTCTTAGATAAGAGCGAAATGAAAAGCGACAATAAAGAAAGCTCATAAACATTGATCATCTATCCATTGAACGACACTTGAATATTAAATGAAGTGTGCTTTAGACATGGCTGTTTTAATCAAGTTAATTACCAAGTCAACAGTCTTTACTGTTAGTTTTAAAAGCAGTTAACCACATATTTTTCTTTGTTCTTCCTCTCAGGATTTGGGACTCCAGGGATCGTCACTCAATGACATTTTGTACAAGAACGCAGCTTTTCTCAACCTGGTGGACCCCATTTCTCACGAGCTGCTGCTCAGTCTCGCCCGCGACCTGCAGTGCCCAAAAAGGGTGAGAATCCAGAACGATCCGGTTTGTTTAAACTGTTCATGAATACTGAAAAACCATCTCTACAGTCTTCACATTAATTAGCGTGTCCACGGCTACAATTGTAAACAAAGGCGAGGCAAGCAGCAGCATGTCCGCATTTATTAGCCATGCCTAAGTGCATGTGTCATATTGTTCCTGTCATGCTGTTGTGACAGCAAGGAACTGCCAGTTGTCTTCGTACAAAAACTGCAGAGGCTACGATCAAGGGAAATGAAAGTGTACTGTATGTGTTAAGCCATGAGCATAATACAGTAGATCACTAAGCACGTCTTCAGGTTTCTAAAATGAGTTTAATATTAGATGATGTCTTTTTTTCTGTGGGCATCCTGCATAATATTCACAGATTCCACACCAGGGGCTGGCTCATGTTTTATAAGGGAAATGTGAGAGGCTAATACATTTTTACTAATTCAAAAATTTGCTCATAGAGCTTTACAAGACGACTTGAGTAAGATATTGTAAATATGAAGAAAAACAAGATATTACAACTGATTTATAACATTATCATCACAAGAATGTTTTTATGGTCATGTTTTTAGCCAAGCCATGTTGTATTTTTGAGCCTGCATGTGGAAAAGCTGCATTTAGAGGACAAATTGAGGTTGAAATGAGAGTTACCACACAGCTACAGAGAGACACCTGCATGCTGAAGGGTGGGCGGAGGGTTAAGGATTAATGTGTGGGCCAAGATGAGGCAGTGGGTCAGCGTTTGGCTCTGCAGTGGCACCGTCTTCCCTGCTGCTCAGGTGCTCTTTCAGCACATTGGCCAACGATAGCAGCTGTGCTCCAGGACCTGCAGGTGTGAGAGAGTACCTGCTTAGGCTGCTTTATGCTGGGCAGCGTGGGCAGCGTGGGCAGGAACCCAGCGGTCATCAGGCCGAGGTCAACGGGGCAGGGGGCCACGGTCAATAGCAGAGAGGATTGTGGGGCTTTGGCACTCTAAATGAGAGCACTTTGAGGATCTGACAGGTGGTAGGTGGCAGGTGGGATCAAAGTGGAGTCCACTGTGAAGTCTTTTGTGTCCCAGCCACAGACACCTCTCAGTAAGGGATCGTACCAAAATGATATGAAGATATTGAACAGCTAAATGTAGATGATTGTTTTCCCTTCCTACATTTTAATCTTCAGCCTCCCTTTGCAATAAATTGTGATATAATAGTCAGAAAGACAGCTTCCATTTGTGCCATGGGTCATAATGATGCAACTTGCTGGAGAAAAATATGTTGTGACTTAGAAGTATCATAGAAAAGGCAAAAAAATAGAAGTTTTAAGATCTAAATTAAGGCACACTAGCTATATCGACGTCTTTGCTATCACTCTCAAATTGTATTACAGATATTACTGATATCAAAAAACATTTATGATGTATATCCAGTTGTCTTATATTAGTTTTTACCTGTCAATACATTAGACAAACTCTTTAATTATTCATGTGCATTAAGTTCTGATTTATGTGTTCAACAAAATATATAAATCATGATTTATCAAGCCTGGGAGTCAGCTCTTCCACTTTACCACGACATACAAATCCAAGATGATAAAATTCAAATGACATTTCAATCTGGTTGAAGCGGCTGAATACAGTAGCAGCACACTGGCTGTAAAACTCAAGCCCAGCAGCCATTACACTTATCTAAAGGCTTTATTTCTTTTAGGAAAAGATGGGTTGCTTTAAGATAAAGTCACCGTGGTCTAGTCTTTACTTACCGAGTCAAGATGATAATCACCTGTGGGAAACGCTAATCTTATCGTTGTTTGCTTTGGCGGGGGGGAAGCCCAGAAAGACGGGGGTGGGGGGGAGGGTGAGAAGCTGGCAGCGATCTCCCGACTGCCTGGCGACCCGTGGCAGGAAACTCTGTCAGACGTGAGGGGGATGTAGAGAGGCAGTGTGCTGGATTTAAGGCCCGGCAGCTGCCTCTTTGCCCAGTGTGTTCCACCACTCTGAGATGTATTCACATTATATATTCAAGGACATATTGAGTCTAAAAGATAAATCATTTGTGAAGCTCATGGTCATCAGTTTCACAATTTAATTTATGTTTTTGATGCACTCAGCTTTACAGACGCGTGATTAACATCCAGGAATGCTTTGGTGATCCTTCCAGTCAACAGACTAACATTTTCTAAGAATACTTCCACACTGCGAATCAGTATGCGCAGCTTTAACGTCGAGTTCAGTCATCCGAGTGGCTGAAACAGCAGCACTGCATGTTTTGAAGTATGAGACATGGTTGTTTGTCGCCAGAGAAAATAAATGGCAGCGGGAATAGTTAATCGCCTTATAAGGTAAATTGCCCCTGTCTTTTTTTTTCCTCTCGCCACATTGCCTCTTTCTTGTTGTCGTGTTGTACCATTAATTAGATGTACCCTGCTCAGCTAAACCCATTGCATTCAAAGTATTTGACGGAGGTGGGAGAGAGAAACGAGAAGGCAGAGAGGAGGGGAGGCATGAAGCAAGAGGGAGGCAAAAGGGAAAAATAAATGAATGTTTCTGTGTGGGGAAATCTTTGAAGCCACTGTTTTCAAAGGACAAGAAAGAAACACTTTGTGACTGTGGGAGAATCAGTCCATCTGTAGTTAGCAGGAAGACAGAAACAGAGAAGACATCAAACATTTATAAATGTATTTAACAGCTTGTGTATATTTGTTTGTTTGCCTAAAACTTGTGATTTTTATATGAACAACCACTGTTTTGATTTGCAGTATGAACTCAATTCTTGTCCATCATTCGTCCTCTGTGTGTGTTAAAGGAGACTGACTCGTTCAAGTCCACCACCAAGATCTGCCGGCAGCTGATTTACCATCTGACCCCTCACTCCAAGTGGACGAGACAGAGCGTGCCCAGGAGGAAGTCTCAGGCCTGGTGAGTGTGTCCTCCTCGCTGCCGGCAGACACTGCCCGTCACTCTGAGGAAGGACAGTCCCTGCTGCAGTAAACACATACTAAGCATCAGTACAACTCGTAAATCACCACAGAGCCTCTCGGAAAGATTAAAGGAGGCAATACATCAACAGTTATTGGGAGGATTTTGCTTCACTGTGCCCAGGTTATATTTGTAATAGTGCGTTCAATAGGGTTTATGGTTGTCTTGTGATGTTAAAATGATTACTTCCTGGGATTATATTACCCTTTTTTTTTCAGGAATTTAGTTTATTCTGGATGTATTATGTGGTAGTCAACAGAGATGGCAAAAGTACACACATCCTTTACTCAAGTAAGTACAGATACTCGTGTTTAAAGATACTCTGGTAAAAGTAGAAGTACTGACTAAACTTCTTTACTCAAGTAAAAGTAAAGAAGTATGGGCTTGGAAATGTACTTAAGTAAAAAGTACCCATAACTACCAGCTGTTTTAAAGAGTAACTGACCTCACTTTATATTAATAGAACAATAATGTTATTGTTAGCTAATGAATGTTTCGAGGCTGAACAACGGCAACATGGCAACGTTCTCATTGGTCGTTTATCCCATCTTTGAGGTAGAAAACAACCCGTTGAAGACCAAACAGAACACAGTTTCTCACTGTATCATGAGTTTTACGTATGAGTGGCTGTAATGGAGACTCTCGTCTTTATGGGGCTGAACTGAGGTTATTGCTGCTGCAGTGTAAGCAGTTTTGCTTGGAGGGTTGTGGCACCTGTTGTTGCTGTCTAGAGAGCAATGAAAGGGAGGAAACAAAGGTAGAAAACACAATATTTGTTTATTCTCTTACAGATCTTCATTGTGTGCATGCATGGTGTTTGTCGTAGTGATGTAGCACCCTACAGCGGGTCCCATGACCTTTAAAGAGTAGTACAAACAAAGCCATAAAACACATTCCCCTTCCAGGTGCATCTCATACAAGCAGCTGATCTCTTTATTTATGTGCCATAAAACAATTATGTGACCTGGTGAACCAGGGTCATTGGTTATTGGAGTCATTTCACAGATCCTCCCTATACTCGGGTGTAACGTTCATTACATCTAAAAGCCTACACCATGTGATGAAGTTGAAGTATTCTCACAATAACATCTACCTAATAGACTCACTTGTGGAAGAGTTTGCATAGTTTACATTTGCTTTCTGTTAATTCAATCTGAAATACATTTTTCCACACATCTGAATTGTAACAGCCATTGAGTCGCTTGAAAAGCAATTAAATCCAGTTAAAATGTTAACTTAAGGTCAGACTAGATCTATGATGGTGGCATTTCTGCATTAATGAGGTCTGGAGAGTTTGCTTCAGTACAGTACTCTTCAGTATTACCATACATGATAATATGTCCAATATCTTCCAGGTGTTAATTACCTTGAAAATCCTGATCAAAATATCCAGGAAATAACAGCATGTGAATAGAATTATTCATCTGAACCAAATTACGCCACATCATACACTAATTGATTAAAATGTGAACATAAATTGTGCTGCATTGTGTAGTAGATCCAATGCAATCAATACCTTTTTAATTTATGCTTTTCCTTAAAGTAAATATTTGACATCAATACATACCTTTATTTACGATACTACCTTTACATTTTCACACCTTCTTCTCAGCAGTAACCTCACTTCCTCCCTGCTACTATTGTGACAAAAACAGCCTGACACCATCTTCCAACACTCTCCGTTATGAGTGTGAGAGATTTTATTGTTTCCATACATCTACAAACCATCTCCAAGAACGATCATGGAGCAAACAGGAAATTAAGACTGAACTGAATTTGAAGCAATTGACACCAAACTGCGGCTCTGGTACTGATTGTTCATGTTTGAGTGAAATAAAGAGCAACAGAAAGGACACTGATTACAGCGACTGTACAACAAATGAAATGCTCCCCAACTCAAACTAAGTAACAGGTACATTTGAGGAGACGTTATGAAAGAAACAACTTCTCTACTGTTGATCACGAGGCTCCCTCTCCCTGAGCAATTAACCCAGATCGAAAGATTTTTTGACAGCTCGAGTTAACTTCCCGCCCCTGTCTCTTGGTTGCTGTATTTTGAAATAACACTCAACAGAACAACAAGGCAGACTCTCCCAGAGTGCTCATTAGCAAACCCCGTCTCTTTCTCTGCCTCCACTGCAAGCATCAGGCAGCGGCGCTTACTGTGGGACTCAAACCAGACTCTGTGAATATGACGCGCTCTGAAATGAGCTGAAATGAATGTCTTGAGCTGAAATGAAGCTTTAGGACACATGGTTTCAGAAGCTTTTCTGTTATGGATCTTTTCATTATAAACCCTTTTGTCTATTTCCTCTCAGTCTGTCTCAACCTTCTGCTCTCTCTCCTTCCCTTCCTTCCCCCCGGCCTCTCCATTTCTTCTATTTTAAAATCCCTTCCCTTGCATTGATCTTCTTCCTCTCCTCTCCTCCTGTGGGATTTTCTCTCCTTCTTGTGAGAGTCCATTTTGTTCAACAGTTGCCACACAGAGCGGTTCTGCAGTTTGAGCTGAGGCTCTGGGGAAACGCTCTGTCAGACAGAGAGAAAAATGGGGAGGCGGATTCACTGCATGGTTGCCGATTAGAAATCGCCTATTTACCTCTTTCTTCCTGCCTCGCTTCGCATCGATTGTGAATTTGATCTCTTCATATTAGGGAATGCAAAAGCATCAGCTATCCTTTAACAGTTTATTGCATTCTTACAGTCTTATTTTCTTCAAGTGATTTTGAAGTCTATTTTGATCAATCTAGAAATGTGCTGCAGCCGTCTCTCCAACTGGGGCTCAAATTGAATATATTTCATGGAAAATATGCAATTGGTTGCACATCTTCAAGAGATAACGCATCAATCTTGATTCCAGCGTTATTACTTCAGCTTGCTACAGTATGCTTTCATAATACTGTAACTGCAAAGCAAGTCACACTTTATATATTATCAAGGCATCATTTTCTCTCTGCAGCTGCATGTGCTAGGTTTCAGAGAAGCACTGTATGTGTGCGTCCCCAGAGGAGTTCTTAATGTCATTGGTATTGGTATTGAATTTCAGATTAATCAAGCTCGTATTTTTTATGACGGTAAAATTGCCCTTCCAGCACATTTGGAAGAGATTGGATTGAGATTGCAGATGCTGTTTCATTGCAAGGCTGTAATTGACACGAGGCTCTTACAGCAGCTATTACAGACATCTTCAGTACATTAAAAGAAAAGAGTGTGGTTCAAGAAGACAACTGAATACAAAATTCAGCTTTGTACACAAGTATCTAAGTGCATCTGTTTAGTTTTTTTGCTTTTTTTTTTAATATGTTGTATCATCATATGTTAATATCATGAACTGTATGAGGATAAGAGTAAAACCAGACAGATGTTCAAGGTTCAAGGTTCTTTATTGTCAATCTGACATAGTTACAGAGTAATTATGTAGTTGAAAATCTTATGTCACAGGCTTCTCCAACAATGCAACATAATGACATAATAACAATAAGAGCAAGAGCAATACAAAAAGAATAATAGTTATAAAATAAAATAAAGTTATGATGTGGAATAGTGTTTGGGAAGGTGTTATCAGTGTGGGTGCGTGTTTCTAGTTTGACCCAGACTGTTGGGGCTCGACACATTGTACCTGATAGGCTAAGGGGTGGGACATCTCTAGGCGGTTGAACATCACAACAGAGCCGATCAGCTAACCAATCAGAGCAGACTGGGCTCTGGTTTCAGACAGAGGGTGAAAAGAGGAGCTGCAGCACAGGCAGTATGAGACAAATAAAGAGCTTTTTGAACATTAAAGCATGGAGACATGTCACAATAGATCACAAAATACAAATATGAACCTGAAAGTGAGCATAATAGGGCCCCTTTAAGACGGCAATTGGGAAAATGCTGATGTGACAACAGACAATGTTGCCCCCCTACTGTGTTGCATTTGCAGATCAAACTTGCAGCTTTGCACTCAATAACATAGATAAACCTCAACTTTAGGGGCGTTGGAGACAAAGATGTTCTGCTCTTCTCATTGGTCTGACTATCTGGCATGCCCCGACAACTAATACAGCTAACCAACTAACTTTCCTCACTACTCGATAACTCTTTAAACACTTCTTTCTCAAGTATTGGAAATCACTCCTCAGTTGGCTCTTGAAACGCTCTACAAATTTGCAGTTGAGCTTTTGTCCTTAGCCTCAACAAATGATCGTTCAGCATCAAACCGTCCTCTGCTCCTTGGGTGGTTTCCTGCAGCTGCTCAGATTTTCAAATTGCTGGTAGCCAAAACTCAACAGCTTCAGCTCATTGTACTCATCTCTTTCTCCTTTATTTTTAGTTGGAATATCCTTCCCACTTCAGAAAGATTACCACTTTTCTCATATCTTTACTCTCACTTCTGAATCATACCTGGCAAGCATAAGCCAGAGAAAAGCCGTCTAGGCATCTTGGCAATAACTATATTTGGTTCAGCAGTGCAAGTTTTTTAGACATCTGTGTAAGAGTCTGGATGCTTATGACCACTTTCTTTAAACTGTATTTCAAAAACGGTATTTCTAGTTCAGATCCCCAGACAGCTTTCACCGGCTAATCACCGGAGACATGCTCTCTGGGATTCTCTCTCCGCTGCTCTAAGCTTTGAAGAAATCCCCTCTACCTCTCTTCTTTGCTGTCATTTGAGCCTGTCTCCCCTTCATGATCCTTCCAGCGGCGCAGACATATTGTAAAGGCAAGGAACCTGTCAACTCTGCAGCCTTTAATATTGTACATGTTGGTAACCTATGCATTAAAGCTGCTGTCCAATCCTCTAAGGCCATGTCTACGTTAATGTCATTTGAAAGCTATCTGAAAAGTTGGGCGTCCATCCCAAGTAAGCTGGCCTATTCACATTCAATTTGTTTGACAATTTGTTGTAACTTTTTAGTAGAGGATAAAGACAGACGCAATTTCATCCATCAATATTACAA